GCATCTGAGTAATTGTCCAGAAATGCAAAAAGAATCTTAATAACTTATTAAGCCAACATATTGGCCTGGTGACAGATAAGTAAGAGCGTTTTTTAGGTAAAAACTGCAAATTACCTATGCCCCGGGAACTATACCTTGAATTTTATCACTGAAATACAACTTTTAGGAAGGATCATCACATTATAATAACTTGTCAAAATTTGGTGTAAAAATACTGAATAGAACTAGAGATACTGTAATTTCATTGATGATATAAATAGAAATAATGGTGCAAAAAGGAGCATATCATCCTGAAAGGTATTACCTAAGGGCGCCATATGGAGCCTGTCATCGTAAAAGGGTTAAGACTAAAAAACCGTTCTATAAGAATAGGGCTCTGATTTGATATCATCTGCCACATTATTTTTCATAATTAATTCTTTGACCAGTGAAATGATCTTAAGACACCAGCACATCATTTTTAATGGATGTTTTTTGTAACAAAAGACAGGTGAATATGTACTGGCTTGAAAATTACTCTCTTTTTGTGTGTCACTTTTGAAGACAATATACCTCTTTCTAAGCTTCACTTGGTTTGAGATTTATTGAAGTTTTTGTCTGTATACTTCGAGGCATTAAACATTTTGAACATTTTCATCTAAAAAATTTAGCCAAATGATTGAACCGTGTTCACCCTTTAAGTCCTGTGACCAGATTTTGATACTTTGATGTTGGGATATTATTATGACTTTATTATTGACTATATGAGTAGTTCTACAGGCCCGTAGCCAGGATTTGCCAAGAGGGGGTTCAGTTTTCAAAATTTTCCAGGGGGGGTTCACATTTGACAATTTTGGCCCAAATATGGCTAAAACCACTTGAGAAGTGCTCAAAATGGTGAAAAACTGCATGATTTTGAAAGAATCTTTGGCCAGGGAACCCCCCTGGCTACGGTATTGATTTGTATTGCTTTGGGGCTTTTTGGGCTCACATCAGGAGCCTTAGATCACCTTTAGGCATCCACCCACCATTGGTTTTAAAACATTCCCATGGCAAACAATTCTTACCAGTTTAAACACCAGTTTCACTTTACCGGCTTATATCATTCTACTATTTTTCTTTCGCAATTCAATCAAATGTTTTGTCTTTTGAGCTTAGTTGTATCAAGAAAAGATCCGGGATGTAGAGATATTCAAAAGAAACTTGATATTGTTTTCCTGTTGGAGATCAGATTTTAATGTTACTTCCAAGAATCGATTTAAACTGATTTAACTTGTAAAGAAAGTAAGATTAATTGAAGGTATGATGTAGAATAGTGAAGTGATGTTTAAACATAGCCCCCCTCCCCTTTGGATCGCTGGCTTGTATGTCCAGAAATATAGGTCAGAAGCACTATGACACCCAGTATAACTGTATGTTAACTTGTATTAAGTCTCATTTCAATATATTTCCTCAAAGTCGTTTTTATTGCTACATGTATTTCATGGTTGTTAACTTCTAAGAATGTTAAATATTCAGTGAGAGGTCTTTACTTTCTCCAGATTAAGGGATTAGATTTATTTTCAATATGATGTTGGTATTTTCATAGTCAAAACACAAAATTAAGGAAGACCTCTACATTGAACTTTTCAACTTTTTGAAAATAACTGCATCAGAGTGAGATGCTCAAGAATTATCTGGTTACATCATCAAATAATTTTGTAGTGCACTTCCCTGGCAAAATACATTATATGGTCTATATTGTAAATCATTTCAATGTTAGAATGAAAATTAACAAGAAGGAGAGAGAGGTTCCAGAGAGACTTAATACAATATCAACAAAGTGATTATGGCCAAATTATGGTATAAAGTGATGCTCTTTGTATTGATATTCAGTCTGATTTTTGAAGAAAACCATGACTGTCATTCAATATGATCATCAAATCTAGAGATAATCTCCGAAAATGGCCTCAAATAGCCAGGGCATCAATTAATACATTAATTCTTTTTATTAAGAATTCAGCATATTCATTTTTGCTTTTAAAACAATACGAATTTGTGTCTGTAAATATGTTCAACATATCTCCATTAGGCTCATAAAAATTAGAAAAAGTACACATTTTTGCTAGAGATGTTTACATAACAAAATATCTTCAAAAGGCAGATTGACATTGTAACATCAAACATTTAGTACTTTCAATTTGTTTTCCTAGCAAAGAGGAAGTCAGTATCTAGGATGAAGGCAATAGGAAGATCTTCCCTTACCTTGTGAATCAAAAGGTCAGTTTTGTTTTTTTGCACCAAACCTAACAAACTTCTTATTTGCAGATCAGTAATTTTCAGCCAAGTCTCTCTCTATGTAAAAATGACTTTCACATACATTATCTGTTTCAAATACTATTTTTATAAAGTTTAAAACTTACTTGTAATATAGCATGGTCGTAGCCAGGGGTGTGTGATGGGTGTGATTGCACCCTCCCACACCCCCACAAATTTTTTTTTAAAAAGCCATTTTGTAAAATTTGGAAATAGTTTGAAATGCTTAGAGTACACTATATACAATGTAAATTTTGAAACATTTCTGGGGGTGAACAAACGTATCAAATGAACCCCCCCCCCCTTTTTGGGACTCGCTTGGCTCGCAGTAATGCTAACCCAAAAATCGCACACACTCAACATTTGCTCGCAATGCCTTTGTAAATTTACCAAAGCTAACCTGAAGATCTATAATATGTAGATCTATAATGTTAATTTACCCCCCCCCCCTCCAAAGGTTTGGCATCATGAAGTACATATTCAGACCAGAGTTGATGTAGATGAAACAATGAGGCCATGAAACTCTAGAAATCTATTGACTTGATTGATCATATTTCAAGTGGTTACTTGATTTCCAAATTCATTCAGTTAAATGCATATTTATTCAATGTTATTAGGAATGATTATATTTCTTATAAATCATTATATTAAACTCTTTAATCACAGTTAACCATGCCTTTATATGGATATATGTATTGTGATTCAAACAATTATGTTCAAATAGCAGAAACACTAATGAAGAATTGGTCATGCACTGAACAATCCATAGTTAAGTTCATGTAAATATGAAATGAAAACAAAACAGAACATATGTTCATTCACATAGTTTTAATAATTTAGCATTTGATAGGGAATCTTTCTTGACATTGCTAGGTATTGATAAGGGCCTCTCTCTTATAAATTATCAGAAAGCAAGCACTTTTCATACCTGGTTTTATCAACATTCAGAAAATATTTGAAAAATTGTAAATATGGGTCATTTAAAGGTAGAATCTATTATACATGGGGTCAATAAACACCAAGCAATGTTTTCATCTAGTATACACAGCTGGAAGATTGGGCGCTTCACAAAAATCAGTACATGTTTGAAATTAGATAAAACTATGCAGAAATGATTGTTCTGGATTGTCCAGTTGAAGTTGAGAAAGTTATTTTAGAAAACTCAATCAATTTTTGGGTCAAAAATGCATTTTTACCAGAATTTCCCAAAAAGTTCAGTGGATTCTGATTGATTAATTCCTAGAAATGAAAAAATATTTTAAATTGCCATTGCAGGAAAGGCATTTGTCCTGACTAAACTGTGAGAAAATCTCCAATCATTAAGTTTTGAGAACACATTGACATCAAGGAAATTAAGTGTACATGTACACTGGAAAATATTCTAAATATATGGCCAAAGGTGTGGAAGTAGATAAGAGTATTGTAATATATAACATATAAGGGGAGCTGATTGTTGATTAGACACATACTTAACACATTTGAAGTACATGTGAAAAGTGGAAAGATTTTAACAACCAAATAGAGGTGTTTTAACAAGCAAACCGTGTTGTTTATTCATTTGTATAATGTAGATTTAATGAAATAAAGTTTTGCTTATATGAAAATGAGATGAGATATACTGTTTTTCTTCAACCATACTTCTAAACATAATATATTGGGTAAATTTAAATGCCAGGGCCTTGGAAATTACCTCACCTCAGAATTGGTTGCCTCACCTATATGATCAGCCTTGAATATTCTTGCATCAAGTCCCACCAAATATGTATTTCGACAACACTTGATGTTCATTTAAAGTAGAAGGCAGCACATAGTTTCCTCCTCCACATCTCTTTCTGGTATCCTTTTGTCTTGTTACACTTGCTCCAGTTCGGAATCCTGCTTGATTATACATCCCCTGCCCCCATTCTCCCATCTGACATTTTCTGATCTGATGATTTAGGGATTTTATTATGAACTGTATTTTGAAGTATATCAGTAAAATAAATATTTATTAAAAATAAGTTTGGATGCATACTTCTGGTAATGGGGGTGATTGAAGGTTTTTTCTATTCTATTTCATTTGGTTGGAGGGGGATTTAACGTTATCTAATAAGCAACTGGTTAATTGATATCTGTCTGTTTGTTTCTCTGTCCACAGTTTTCTTCATATGCTTATGATTGAAAGTTGTGTCCCCATCTTCAAGGAAGTCACATTTTGTCTTCTATTTGAAATGTCTGAATTCGTCCTTTTATGGTCATGATCAAGAATCAGCATGAGGGATAATTGGGGGGGGGGGGCACTTGAATGTAGTAAATCCAGTTCTGTCCTGGTTCATATACTTCATTAGTTTCATAAATAAAACATAAATCAAAGTTATATTTGAAAAAATAGTCAAAATGTGTGACCTTTTATTATGATACTAGAGCAATAGGGTATACAGTTTAGTGTATGTACAGACGGGGTATTCCCAGACTGGGTTTATGGTACAAGATCATATTATGTACATCACCATAGAGATGTGCACATATCACTTCCTGGTCGGCCATCTTGATTCACAGAAAATAAGATATTGGTTAAAGGTTCAGTGCTCAGAACCTACTAGTTTGAGAAAAGAAAACTATTGTATCTTATTTTCAGAAAAATGGCCGCCATTCAGAGTGAAACCGTGCTTTATTGCAGTATGAAGCACCTTTCCCTTGCAAAAAATTAGTAAAATTCTGAGTTCTTTAAGAGATATGAAATTCTTATCTCGATGAACACAAGCTGTTTCTAGATATTTCCACTCAAATTTCATTAATTTTTTGTAAGGGTACCAAGAGTTTTGAGATCTTAGAATTCGTTCATTTTTAGCGCAGATAACAATCCAACCTTTCCCTTATACAGCCAACAGTTAAATATAGATCATAACATCCTGCTCGTTTAAAATCAATAAATTAAAATAGTAATAACTATCCTATAGCCTAGTTAATATAGATGTTAAAGTCAGCAATGTAATAAAGACTCAACTGAAGTTATAAAATGTTTTACAGATTGTATTACAAATATTAAGATATACAAACAAAGTTAGCTTAATTAACATCAATTTCTTAAATATTAATAAATAATTTGCAATATATTATGTCTTGTATAACATTGATAAACCCAGTTGCATTGTGGGATATCCACAATGAATAAATTATGCTAATAAATAATGCTGTATTTTGGGAAAGGTTGTACTGATACTGTGCATAGCATAAATATTCAATTCTGTTACATTAAACATTGCACCATTTTCAAGTATTGTTTTAACACAATACTTTTTCAGTATAAATATTTTCTGTACATGGAGATATTTTACATAAAGGGCTTTCTCCAGCCTCTTATAATATTTCTGCCTTTCGACATTATTGAACTCATGACAAGGCTAGTGTTGAAAATATGCAAAACTATAAATCTAGTGCGTAGATTTTATGCGCCAGTTCTGTCATGGCAGTTTTATTGGAACACATTTGATTCAAACAATTCCACACAATTATTCTGACTTAGTTCTGAATAAGAGGCTGGGCTTAAATATATATACCAATTATATACACATCATAAAATCCAAAATCTACACTTTAGGTCAGTGAAACTCCCTCTAAATATTAGTGTCTTTGCATGGGTTCCACTGTCAACTAAGACTACAGTACACTGTTACTATGGTTGCAGTATTCAAATCACCAAATTTTACAAAAAATTAATCGACAGGTGTTAAAAATACACTCCAGGCTAAAACAGATGGATCTTTTAAGCCATTCAGAATAATTTCATTAGAACATATCCAATAAAAGAATACTATTATAATGTGTTCTGGTAAGTGACCATTATGATTGATCTGTATATTGGTTTACACATGAAGAATGCTGCCTTTACTTAGCCCTACCCTTTCTTTCTTTCACAATGGCTGTATTTATATTAACCATAAAAACAATGAAATTCATTGATTCCATAGAGCTTTCAGGGAAATGTTTCTTTTCAGCGACCACTGTGAATTAAAGAGACGATAGACAGGCACTAACTCATAAAGATATCATTCGGAAATCAATCAATTATCGCCAAATGGAAGTATGAAATATGCCTAGCATTATATCATATTGCGACATTCATAAACTTGCCTCGTTTAATAGATTTTCATGTGATATCTTCATGGTTAGAGCCTGGTATGCTACATAGAATGATTCTATTTGAATTAGAATGAATTTTCCTTCTGTGTTATTATTGCTTTCTGTATCTACATCTGACACCATGTAAGGAATGATGATCTGTCTAGTTGGTATTGAGTGATCATCATACATGATGTCTTATGGAGAATTCAATTTTGAATTGCATAATATTTATATAATAGGCTTTGAGCCCTGATCTCAACACATTGAATCTACTGTACATATAATTTAAATAATCTCGAAAAATCTCTATGATTTTCACATATTAATAATTATAGTTTTCTTGTAGAAAATGTTTTTGTTTACTTTTTATATTGCATCTTTTTACAAAAGAAGGCACATGTACAATATATATTACAATTTTTTATAAATAATATAATTTAAATAGATCTGTAAATTTGGCGTGTCACTACACTTCAGTGGCTAACATAGTATCTGTGTGTCGATGCTGTCTGTTGTGATTTTTTGCTAATTTTTGGTGTAATGGACTGTCTAAAGTGTCTTTATTAGTTTGGCTTTTTCTCAGTTCTTCGACATCAGCTTGATATTCACTGCAAATACACAAAACAAATATCCATAAGTATACATATTCAAAAGCATATAAAGACAACATTCATAATAGCTCTATAGAAACATTTATCAATCTTATAGTAACCCATAATAAAACAATGGTTTGTTTCATCACAAGAGATTGTATGGAATTGATGGAGTTATTCACAAAGTGCCATTGACTAAACTCTATTGATATAAGAGATCTTAATAGCCCCACTAGTCAATGGACTTTCAATGTTCCCTATTGATTGATTGATTCGTCCACTCCGTTGGCATTTACATACTAACTCTTGTGTCCAATTCTCTTAATGATTCTCAAGCTCATACTTTAAGAAACAGAAAAGTAATCAGATTTTTGAAATGCTTTTTGTAAATAAATACTTAATTTTAAGCCAGCCATATATGATTAGAATAGCCTGAGAATTCTGGAGGAAATATTTGGCAAATAGATTTTCTTGATCAAGGTATTATCACAATCAAACTGGAATCGACTAAGTTAAAGATAGCACTAAAAGCTACGTAAATCTATAAAATCTACTTGGAAATCCGGTCTCCAATCTCTATAAGCCCCATGAGAAAATTCTCAATTTTTATTGAACTGAACTAAGATTTAGCTCTAAGGATATAAATAAATAGTTAAGAATAATAATTACCTTATGTCTACTTCTGTGTCTATGGATACAGTATCATGCTCCGACACTTTTTTATGTGGTTTTTCAAAGTCTGTATTTTCTATAGAATCCTGTTGTGTAGAAGAATTATAGTCTGTGTTTATCCTTTTGCTATTACAGGTTTTAGTGTTTTGAATGTTCACTGTTTTATATATTTTAGAGTCTTGTTGCTCATTTGTTACATTATAGTTAATGCACATTTTACTTGGTGGAATACTGTGTATTATTTCAGTGTCTATGCACTTATTCTTCAGATTATTAATATGGTTTTGTTCATTTTGTTTTTTAATAGTATCTTCAGTATTGTCTCTATTTTCTCTTCTTGATCTTTTGCATAAAAGTATGATGATCAACACTATGATAATGACTATTGGGATGCCTACTCCAAGACAGATGATAAGCAATAGTTGCTGCATTGTCAGAAAGCTTGCATCAGTTATTACAGAGTTATTGTCCATAATGGCACCACTGTTGCCACTATTTTCACTATTTTCTGTTGTAGTTAAGTCTGTTACAACATTATCCAGTGTTGTATCAATATCCACTGCTGTGCCAGATCCACTGTTAGTAATACCGCCACTGTGTTGTGTTATACCAACATCGGGGTTATCACCAATGTGTTGGTCGCAACGATACCCAGTAAATTCTGGGGTACACTTGCAACTAAAGTCATTTTCCAAATCTGTACATGTGCCGCCATTTGCACAAGGATTCATTTCGCATTCGTTAATGTCAATATTGCACAACGATCCTGTGTAGCCAAGCTTACAATGACATTTGAATGAATTGTCACCATCAACGCAGCTTCCACCATTTGTGCATGGATTATTTCTGCACTCATCAAGATTGACTTCGCAACGCTGTCCTTCATATCCGGGACGACAGGAGCACAGGAAGCCATCATTAATAGTGCTGCAGGTGCCACCTGGAGTTAAAAATAAGAACTAAATTAATATCTTGTTGAAAAGATGGGACAGTTATGCAATTTTAAGTTGAATAATACATCCTATTCCACATCCTGGCAATACATGTGTAAAACTTTAAAAGATAAAATGGACATACATGTGGTGTTTCCTATTACACAATCTCAAAGACTAATTAAGTAAACTTGTGATGAGAATAGGTTTATTGATCAATCAATGAACAATTTATAACTTTCCATATGAGCTATATAGCTTATCAGGATCAAAGAAAATTTTCCAATTTCTCATTTTCTTTTGCTACCCTATCATTGATGATGTCTTAGTGTAATTACATGCTATTGTAAATTACACAATTTCTAATGAAAATGGCCTGGGAATTTGTAATCAGATTATCATATATAAAAGATGTGGGAAATACATGTAATAAGTATTACATATATCACTCAGATATAATCAGCATATTAGCTAATAATTCGTATTCTAATAAAATATTACAAGTGCTATACAAATGCCATATCGCAAGAAATGCAATGATTGCAGTTATGCCGTAACTGTGAGTTAACTAAAAGATCCGGGTACAAAATAATTTAATTTCCTTGTTGTTGTATGGTTTGCAATTGCTTGCGTTTTGCCATAATCTGGTGACACTTTTACTTTTCCATTCATATGTCTGAAACCCAAATAGTCTATAGTACCCTATAAGCTATTCCTATTTGATCAAAGCTTATGTATATAAAGGTCTTTTATTGTAAGTTACTGGGACCATGTAGAAGTGAGCCTCAACGCTAGGAAATGTCAACAAGCTTACGTGGCTTTTAGCCCCTTCTTCTTTTCTACGGCACACTCCATTGGGCAAACATTCAGCCACTTGATTGTTTATGAACATTGTGTCACATTGCCCTCTTAGTGGATGACCGTGGGAAAGGATTTCAAATCTACTGGGGTCCTGTAGAGGTTAATCTAATAGCCATTGTCATTGAGATTTCACCTTCCCAAAAATACATGATTTCCCATTGATTAACTTCCTGTATAATAATTATATTTTCTTACCATTTTCACAGGTGTTGGTGTCGCAGTGGCTGATGATGCGCTCACAGTTGATGCCAGTGAATCCAGGGGGGCAGATACAGACATATGATGGACTATCATCAGGCTTGGTGCATGTGGCTCCATTGCGGCAAAGGTTTGGAGAACAAGTAGATTGTTGCATATATTGGCATCTATCACCAAAGAAACCAGTTGGACAATTGCAGTTGAATTCTCCACCTCTTCCCTAAAAACAAAAATATCATTCATAAGCACTTTGAATAAAGTCTCGGTCATCTCAGGTGTTGCTCATTTATATTCAAAAAATAATTCCAGTTGTGAATATTCTCAACTCAAATAGCACCTTTATCGATATTCTGTCATTCCCATTGAGGAATATTTGCTCAGTAATAAATAAAACCACAAACCAACACCCCAAGTTTTTTTCATTTTGCAGGAACCCTTTTGGAAAATTCTCAGTGACTTTATATTTTTATTCATTAACATTGCTGAATAAAAATAATAAGCCTGAAACTAGCTATTTAAATAGTGGTGTGATGGACATTTTATTGCATTGGTGAAACGAGCCTAGATATTTCTGTATTGATTCATATTACAATTATATCATTTATATCTTGTATCGTTACTATAGCAATTATAGTGTTATGCATCCCCTAGTGGTGATAGTTACTTAGTTAAAGCTTGACATTTTTCTGAACCCTTGATTGACTTTCTTTACCACGATGTTTTTGTTTTATAGACTCATGAGATTGCTTACTTCACAAGTTCCACCATTCTGACACTGCTGGCCCATTGCTGTACAGTCACTTGGGATCTCGCAGTCTTTGCCAGAATACCCTGGAGGACAGGAACACATGTAGCTGCCCTGACCGGCATTGTGGCAAGTTGCCCCATTCTTGCATGGTTGATGATGGGTGCAGAAGTTGAGATCTGTAATGAAACACAAATTGTTATACCATCTGCTGTCATGTAGGTTAATTGAGTACTTTCTCTGGCAATGTGACAGAAAATCTGAGGGAAGCTGCCAAGTCAACAAGGACCCTATCAGTATCACTGTATAATAGCACAAAATCATAAAGTCATAGCAGAAATGAAACCAAACCAATATAAGGTGATAATATACTTGTTAAATTGATATATTTGTCACCTGTGCTGGGAACAATGCCCTAAAATAGCCTGGAAACTATTGGTGCCTTGGTACATCACTTTATTTGATTAGATGGATATTTTGTATTTACAAGCTTGAGTATAAGACCAAAACCTCTGAATCATTTATGAAACTCAGGCATATCTCTCAACAACAAAGGTTAACCAACTAGTTCTCATCAAATTAATGCCTGCCAAATCCCTCGTAAGTCCGTTAAGTAAGGAGTTCTTGTCCCGAAGGATGGCTAATGTATTGACTGAATAAAGCAGCCAATTTACGATACTGACTTATTCCGCCATTTAGATTGCGACTAATCAGAAATAATGGCACATATTAATTAATATTACGAAATGAAGTAAGTGGAATATTTGGTTCCATAGTTACAATCACTGGTTTTATGCGATTATCCCAAAATGCCCAGAACTGTTCAATCAGTTGTACTCAATCACCGATTACATGCTATATAATCAGCTTATAGACTGAATCATTTGATCTTTTTTATTAAGTTACCAACATATTACTAATCTACTTACATCTTGAGATAAGATATTTCTATAGTGGATTATATTCTAAATGGAAGAATCAAATTCTTGCAAGAAAAGTGAGTGATGTGTTTGATAATGATTTGCTTACCTAGGTTGCAGAAGATGCCACCCCAGCCCTCATCACACTCACAGGTCCATGCTGTTCCCTTGCATGTGCCATGTTGACACCCAGGGTAAGGGATACATTCATCACAGAGGGTACCCTGCCACCCAAACTTGCATCTGAAAATAATACAACTGGTTAGTATGCTGCATATTTTGGGGAAGTAAATGTCTCTATAATTTCTTGAGGTGATTGGGATATTTAAGAATCGTAATTTCAATTCAAGACATGCTTATTGGAGCAATATTTTCATTTGTGATAATAATGGTCAGTGACAGAATCCATATGGGGCTTTCAATTGAATTAGCACTAAGAGGATTAGGTTCTTGGTCAACATTGTTTTCACTCAACTAATCATATAGATGTATTGTTGTGATTGCAAATATGAAATCTGCCATTAACACTTCCATTCATACATATCCAACATGCATTAACATCTGCACTGTTAGGACAGGTGAATTTGAGCTTTGTAAAGTGACATTTGATTGTCTTTCACTTAATATATTGACATTTTATATTTTCAAGTAGTTTTCTAGCTCATATGCATTATGTAATTCTTGATCTCGTCCTCCTTAAGGGTATAATTAAAATTGGTAATTTGAATGTTAATATGGGTTATTCTACTCATATAATTTCTAGCCTTTTGTAGTATTTGCTAGGGCAATGACATAAATAATGGCATATACCCCTTCACTCTTGAACTGTATCTCTTATTACCTGTACTAATTAATATAACATATTTCTTGGCTAATCTCCTAGATGTTCGACAAAGGAGTATTTGATTAATGTGCTTATTAGAACTGTTACATTGTATGACCAAATATTGCATAGTGCTTGATACACAAAACATGAACTGCAAATGGGTTATGCACATATATTACAATATTACCTGAAAGAAGGTAATTAAGATTTACTATGGTGATCATGTACCAGCATCAGTGTAGAAACTAGCTCATTAACATAAAAACCTCCATATTGAGTTCGTTTTCATATGTATATCTCATTTAACCATCATCGGTACATTAAACAAAAGAAGTTTCAATATCCAAATCATTGTTCAAATCTATCCAGAAAATCTACTTCATCAGGCTTTCAAAAGGCATCACTGTTTAAAACTCTAATTAAATAATTATTTCTATAAATGACCATTATAATTATATTCATATTATTGTATTCTAAGCCTGTTCTAATAAGCCAAGTGGACTTTATTGAATCTTTTGATTTATACTCTCAAAGGGCTGAAGCTTTCATTAATTTTACAAACGCTTAATTAAATGGAGATGTCAGGTTCTTACTACGATTTTACGATATTACTACGTTTCTTACTATTACTATGAAAATTGCTCAGCTTGCTGTAAAGCTATTTTAACTGGTGATTTGATGGCAAATTGCTTCTCGCTAGATTTATGAATGATAGGTGAAGCTATAAACTGGGGACTTATTGATGAGAAATACTAGAGTTGTTGAGTAATGCAATGAAAGAAAAATCAATGATGAAAAATTACCACATGCAAAAAGCCAAGTTGTTCATTTGAGTGGTAAAATCTATAATATTCATTAACTATTGTTTTATATTCACTCCCAGGGCAGTTTGAAGGAAGTTCCTCTTCTTATATAGCCCTATCTCCAGAAGAATTCCTAATTGAGCACTTTGAAATAGTTGATAAAATGATCAGATACTGTTTAAACACACTGGACATTGTGTTTTCTTTGTAACACATGTTGCTGAGTATATATGATTGGAATAGGAAATCAAATATGAATTGCGAAATATGCAAATCGCTGTTAATGTTTGTTTTTTTTAAATCTAGGTAATGTAGTTTTATACTTACTTGCACTCGCTTGGGTTGGAGCAGAATCCATGTTCTGGATGACAGCCAGGAAGGCAAATAACTACAAATATAAAAATAATTATTTATTAATATTATATTTCTGTTTTATTTATCATTATTAAGATGAAAACATTTCACATGCCCGGAGCAGTAAGTTATCAATTGTAAGTAGCATGTACCATCATTATAACTGATTTTATGATTTCTGCCCCGGGATGAAAAGTAGTAAAAAGTTGTATGTGATATTAGAATAAGTGACGCCATTTTAGATTCTGCTAGAAGTCGTTATGTCAGAGATGGAATTATTATTTATGATTACAGTTTTTAAATGAAGCTCATGGCAATTATATTTTGATTGAAGATATTTCCGTGAATCAATAGGAATTTAGGTCTTACGAATGTCCAGCGATTGATTTCCCATTCCCAAGTGGATTAATATAAGACAGTTATGTATTCATGCATAAGTTTATGAAATAAAAGGGGCCTATTAATGGCGCTATATCCCGGGAGAGGATTACATATCTAGTTTCGTACTACAACACTACTAGAGATCTCTAAGAGAGTTCTGAAGTTGTATCCAAGTTCTTATACCAGATTACACAATGTCAATCAGGTGCTTTTCTGTAAGTTCATCTTTGCTTGAATTTGTTTTTTGATATGTGATGCTACGATTTGGCATTTACTACTGCTAAATGCTGGGAATTTAACTTGTATTAAAACCACCATCTCCGTTGAAATCGTTTGGAGTGTAAGATTTTTTAAGATCAACTAGTGTGACAACAGATAGTGATTATTATGAGGAAAGCAAATGTCTGGGGAATTAGAGAAAGTCATGATATTGTTATGGTTTGGGTTGTTCTGTTCACGTCCCAGCTGCCTGGTAGAAGATCGTGGAACCGTGGGCCTTCACTTCTCAACCAGGACAGCTGTCGGTTCCTATTGTAACCCAGTGACTATGTCAAAGATCACCATGTCCCAGCTGTCTTGAAATTATGAAGTTTAAACTGTGTGGGACAATGGCCCATAAGCGCGTGTCTTTCAGTATCAATTGAGGGATTGAGATGGGTTTAAAGTTGCAGGGAAGCAAGGGTTTCGATAACTGATGTGAAGAAATGCTTTTGTCTTGAATGAAGCACGCGACTTTATGTTAATGTATTGATGCAACCCGTGTGTAAGATAAATAAGCAAATGAATCAGTAACAAATGTCTTGGTCGGAGGTTTCCCGTGTCATTATATCACAGGAAGCAAATTTGTTTCTGGTAAACGTGGAAGAGATCTTACCAGAGGACGGTGAGCAAACAAACAAACGTTGATTATGATATGGCTGTTTAAATCGGGACAGTTTGTCCAGATGTTGCGTTATATACCATTTACTGGACATTTGGATCACAAAGAACCGCTGAAAGCCTGACTTTAATTTGCAGTGTGTCATTAGGTCATTATCGGTCTAAATTGCATGTAAACATCGAAGCCTAAAGACAAACAATCTAGAAGTCCTGCCACGGCAGATGTTACATTGGGCCAATCACAAATAGGTCAATCAAACGTTAAACCTCCAATCCTTATTGCTGAATAATTTGTACAGGCTCAAACCATTAATTATTCCATCTTGAGTGAATTATATGAAACACCATTTTTTATGAAATATTGTTTTATGCGTACCTGGAGCGCATTTCATATTGATCTCGAGTTGGGTTTAATAATTGTGAGCGTTGTTAGGTAGTTGAGGATAGATGAATGTATGCAGTGGAAAGCAAAGTCTCAAAACTCGGCAGCTGCAGTTATTCTGTATAATATAGCCTATTTATATTTAAAGTTAGAACAATGAAAATGGGCGGCTGTGGCCTCTATGAATTGACCTCGTATTTTATTGAGTCACTCGGTGCAATGTGGTTTCTATGAATCCATGGAATAGTGAGATATAATCATTAAAATACCCCAAATTCAAACGTAAAACCTATTGATTGTACGGTTTATAAACTGCATCGACCGCTCCCCCAATTCTGGAGCGCCATTGCCATGTTGTGTTTCGGTATCGACCAGAGGCGATAAATAATTTATCGTTCCTGGTTTTCCTTGAACGGCAAGACAAAGAAGACGTTGGACTACCAGTAGATTACTAGAGTATCCCAATGAGCTCCTGATTGCTTTCTGGTGAGACAATTAAGAAGGATGTTCGCAATGTTTACCTGTTCGGGTACTTGCGTTAATTACAGGTGTGTTAATGACACATGTAACACTTTCTTGGATATATAATCTGATATTTCCTTTTCTTGTTTGCCAAATGTCTTCTGGTTGAATATGGACTAAACATGTCCAGTGGAAGCATGTTCAATATTTGCTTTGACACATATCAATTAGAGATAGACGGTTCCAGTGTTCCAAATTTAATTAGTCACAATCAATTTAAGGTATTGGCAGTTTTTGTGTGTAAAGGCTACATGATGTGTATTTGAAACGTGTTTACAAGCTTCCTTTCAAATACCATTCTTTCCAACGATAGTGATTTTTATAACTAGGTAATTTCATTGTCTCATTTATGAATTTAACCTAGGATGTAATTGTTAATGAAGAACATTTGATTGGAATTTATTGCCGTTGCATTGATATTGCTCAATGAGTGTCATAGTGACTTTGCTGCTTGCAAATCATTAGCTACCTGGATTCCACATCTAGGATATTGCTAGATGCTGATTAGGAATCAGAATAAGTGTTGCATATTGAAATGTCATCCTTACCTTCGTTGCAGTATGCCCCTGTGTAGCCATCCAAGCAGACTTTCTCTCCTTCATCATTACATGTGTAGTGTCCGTTTTTATCGTCTCTCGGTTTGCAGTATTCAGTGCATTTGTTGCCGTAATAGTGTTCGTCACATACAACTCTGTATCGATAGAAGAGGTCAGATGAGCCGCTATGGTAATGCTTTTGGCTCCAATGAGGCCCTACCTCACGAGATGCCTGCTTGGCGAGCTGGCTGATCAGCTCTCTTGGTGAGCCTAAAAAAACATTCACACGAGGGTTAGTAAGGTTGTCAATGGGAGAGGCTGGGGTTAAGTCAGTTACTTAATAATCTAAGTAAACTTATAAATGGTGACGTTCAGACTGTATACAAATTGATTTAGAGAGAACGATGTAGACAGCAATCGTTTAAAATAATTGCCAATGTATTTTATAAGTTTTTTATTCAAACAAACTCCGTGTATTTTGACCGCAAACATGCCTTGTCTCTGCTATCTAAAACCCCAATGTGAGATTGACTTTGAGAAAACTATTAAATTTTTAAAATCGTTCCGGTTAAGGACTGATACGCTGTGCAAATGTAACTGTTCAGTTGGTTTATGAGATACTGTCTTGATAATTTCAGAGCGTGGTGACTGCAATATACATGTTTTCTGACCCTTGTAATTGTATTACTGAGGTCCTAGGACAAATTCTCACGATCAAAACCCAGCGTGGCAGACGCACAAGGCTTATGAATAGAATATTTATCTGCTATAAGGGGTTGAATGGGCTCTCAGAAAGTCCAGTTATAGATTGAATGGTGGGAAAATATTTCCATATCTCTCAAGTATTGTTCAGCATCATTTAGGCTTTATTTGCGCATTATAATGTGGCCCATATAAAACTATTACTGGTTGGAATTGAACTTTAATTACTAATCGTTGAAGATGTAATGTATCCAATGTGTACATTGACCAATTTAAGTGCATTGTTTGCAGTAATAATGGACTCTCACTTATTTCGTGTGACCAATGTTTGCCAGTTGTGCATGATGTATTCGCGTGTGCTTGCAATGATTTTTCACTGATTCATTGAAGGCATTCATAACTTGCATTTGTAATTGTTAAAACACAAATATGAATTCCAAAGGGAATTCAATATGTGTTAAATTTCAAAGCACAAAGAAATCCGATAGAACAATTGGATATTTTTAAAGATATAAAAGAAATGTCGAATAGAATATATTTTCAAATATTTTGATATTTCAGTGACCTGACAGCTGTTCTTCTCCCATTGATTATAATAAAGCCCTAGACCCTATCTACGTTAACGTTATCAAAAGCGCGAGATTGTAGTTAATAATACACATGAACATACATGTATAGTTCAGAAAATATGCCATTAACATTATCATTCGATGAAATGGTAATAAGCAAGTTTTTTTTAGGTTAATCAACATACAAATAAATCACCACATTTCTGAATGCTAGTGTCCATTTAAAGTTTTTCAAGCGCTCCACCATGAGCAGTGGCTCCCACGGTCGAAACGGGTCAGTTATTTTTGTTTTGGCTGGGACTGTTTGGGTTTTATAATATTCTTTAGTCATAACTGGACTACTGGACTCGTGACAATTCTTCCCATGCCAGTTTTGGACAGGTCAACATTTCAAAGAACTCTGCACAAAACCGCACAATGGGAAGGTTCATGGGCCTATTGAGACAAACGCTCTGGTCTTTGAGAACATATCGTCTCTCAGGAAAAAGTATTCAATTCGTTTATTGCCCCGTATACGTTCTATTCATGCCAATGACAGATGTTTTAACTGAGACCTTGTACTCTTTTAAACATTGCAATTCAACATTAACAATCACACAATAAGACATAAATAGTAATACAACTACAAATGTAACACCATCCTGTTGTCTCATGAAATAAATTCCCAGAGATTAAAGTTACTTTTTTCTAGATATGAGATTTCTAAGAACTAAAGAGATTTGAGCCATATTGATGATGTGTCCCGATGAACCGAGATAATATAAACATATAGTTGAATCTTTTATACAATGCAAATTGCCCCAGCTGTTGTGAGTGTCCTATTCCTTTAGGCAGATGTATTACATCTGTCTTGTACAGTTACTCCTTATCCATATTACCCCAAAAAAGTCAGGTCACACTTCTAAGTTATAGACAATAAAAGGCGTTTGACAGCCTGTTTATTGGAACGCGTTTGACAAAGCATTTTCTGTTCTTTGATTTTTGAATCGCTGTCACATTCTCTAGGAAATGTTCTCAAGTTTCAATGGATTATATCAAGCGCCTGTTTATATGTTTATGTACCTAGTTCAGATGGGATGCGTTGGGGCTGTGTGATTTACTGACGAATGTTTGGGACAAATCGTTTCTTTTCATGATTCACAATTGGAGAAATTTGGTTCCCAGAGATTCAAGATGCTTAAATGAAGTGGTGTATTGAATGTTATAACCTTACAAAATACCATAGGTCCCTCAAATTTTTATTAGGATTTCTTTTGAAGATTCTCAGTATTAGGTCTGAACAGGTGTTAAAAGTATTCCATGAGATTCTAACATTAGGATCTTTTCTCTATTTTCTCACGATTGTACACGGAGCTTTGAACCAAAAATCATGTTTAGGGCATCACGAAAGACACTGTGGCCATTGAACATGTATATTCAGTAAATTTCACAATAGACACTGAAGTGTTCTGAGTCGAATCTATGTTCATGCATTGAAATAGTTTAGAGATAAATAATACCTTGAGAAAACTATAATATTTGGCTGATGTCTTACCTTTACTGGGTCCATCAAGAGTGCTATCATGCCATGCCTGGACAATAAGAGAGAAGGTCCCCTAAGAAATAAACAACACATGGGTCAGAGACTCTGATAATTAAATTTGAAGACGCAACATTGGGGCCATCATACATCACTATCGATTCGTAGCCATTCGGAACCATTTATATATCAATTGTGAAAATATCGATATTTTAACAGTTGAAGTTTTGAAAGGGGAGCTGGAAGTAATGTAAATAGTTGTAATCGATTGCATGACAGATGTTCTTATGTGTAGTTTTGTGTTTATAGAAGCGTTGAAACAAGATTCAGTCACCCATTGCATAATACAAGTAACCGTCATATTTTAAGTGTTAATGATTGTTATTAGACTAGCTCAAAGTTGTGACATCTGTGCCTTAGAGAATAATAGAAGGAAAAGGTCGTCTGCGAAATGTGACACATGTTCAGGAAGTCCAAGACCTGATAGCTAATGCTCCCTGCAGGAACCACAAAATGCCAGTTTACCAGGAATTAATATCAAGAAACTGGTCAAAGTGTGAGAAATTTAAAATTAACTTACCGGCCAGGCAAAGTCGAATGGTATCCTAATCGGATTTACAAATCCAGTTCCTTTACTTGGTGGGAAAGTAAATGAGTTATCTCCAATTGTTGGTGTTGTTACTTCCCCGAATGTGCAAGATGCTGTATTAGCATCTATATTTGTCATATAATGGGTCAAACATATCCTAAAGAAGGTTTTGCAGGGTGAAGTACATTTTCCATTTGATAAAATTCCATTGCAGCAATGTCCATCAGAGTTAAATCCATTGTCATTTTTAAAGTTTTGTAGATTGAGTTCAAAGGCTCCGTTGGATGAGACCTGAAGGAAAATAGTACAAAATATTATGATATCAGTTCATTGTATTTCAGCTTTATGACATTTCCTGTTTATTTAATCTAAGCGATTGTTAGAAACGTGTGTGTATTATTGAAAGCATTGGATGACAGTATCAGAGCGATAGTCAACTCAGTACAGAACAAAAGCAACATAAACATTATAGCAAGTGTTTACTATGACAACTAAATTTCAAATATTACTCAAATTTTCAGAAGTTGAAGAAAAATATGTTAACTTACCGTTGAAATGAATAGCAGTATATTTAATAATCCAAATGCCAGTGCTGGCACTGTTCTGTGCGGCAGCATGGTTAAAGTTTGTACTCGGCCACGATTTCCCGTCTATTAATTCTTGTTGATAGTACTACTCGTCTACTGCTGCCACCTAGCGGCTGACCGGCTGACTCCGCCTGTTTCTCTATGATTGACAGATTACTGGAATATCAGATATACTGACTTGATTAATAATGTATTCATGTGCTATAAACACTTCGCTTTTCATCAACAAGCATTCATAAATATCCAAAAGTAATATCCTTGTTTTGTCTTAAGAAAATCCTAATTGTAAAATGGCATTTAGTATTCTCCGGCGCAGTGTTAATTTAATGTAGTAATGTATCCTTGCGCTTCGCTCGTGTTTGCTCGACTATCTCGACAGCTGTACTGATTGTCATAAGGGTCCCTCCGCTTATATACCGGGACCAGCTGCGCGTATTAATTAACCGGTGCAAACATCAACCAATAGGAGCACGACAGTCGCGTGTGAGGACTTCAGGCCCGTGCCAGGCGTAAGCTTTGATTGGTCCTTGGTTAATGTGTATCAAGTTTGTAAACATAAGACGACTACGATCTGACCATTATTTATCCTTTATCCACTTTTCAGATTTATTTAATTTGATTTCAAAAGTTAATCAATTTCTTAGGCTTCTTTTGACACGTTGACTGTTGAATGCTTTACGTAATATCAATGAATGCCAAATGTTCAGCTATTTGAGCAAATGCTTTCTGGACTGGCACCATTGTTTTACTACAATAAGCTGGCCAATTTGTCAGATGGGACGTTCTCTCAAATGGTAGCCGGGAGTTTGTCACAAACAACTGCACAGGAAAATAGACAACGGAAATATAATACCAAACAATCAAACTTTTTGTTTTTATGTCTCCTTGAAAGTACAACATCTAAGAAATAACAGACATGTGTTTATGAATTACATCCCGTTTGTATAAGCTTACAACGTTTGCAATGAAAATCGGACACTTTTTGGTGGTAGTATTTGGAATTACTGTCGTAGTAGGTAAATACACACTGAGATGATTCGTACTATGACAGTCCCAAAATAATAAGGCTTCTATTAAGAGTGTGTTATGGATGAACAGAGCTTTTGTAGAGTCAGCTGCAGGCTCGCGACAGCACCTGTCGTCTGAAGGGGTTTTTGTATTCCCGCCATTTATATTTAAATGAATGCCCATATTTGGCAAAACAGGCGCGTGGCTGAATAGAATCAACCGGCTGCCTGTTGATCAGTCCATACTGATTGCACACTGGTACGCTACATTCACATTTGGTGCGATTTACCATTGAGTAACCAATGAACCTTGTACTATAGATAATAGGAAGACACTGCACATCTGTAGCATGTATTGAAATGTTTCACTGCCATGCCAACACAGGCATTAAACAAAGTGGCTTAGTTTTACATTTTCACCTGGTCTTAACTTTAGTCTTTTAGCAATCCTAGTAGGCCTATGTTTAAATGCCATTTTTGGCGAGAATGGATATTTTCGTGAGCTACTCGCACAGTGAAAGTGGCATTTTGTGTTTTAGACTTAATGAGTAAATTGTTGGTGGGCCATCACGACGAATGATCAGACATACCGATTTTAATGGTTTTGAATTTGAGTTTTCGGAACGAATTGAAATATGAACTCAAACGTCTTTACTGAATACATTGACGTGATATAAAAAAGATATGTAACTTAAAATCCATTAAGTAAAACTAGGGGCAGATGTTAAAGCCATATATGATTAATAAATCCAACAAAAACATAAGTACTTTGACATGAGATGAACCTAGTCAATGGTCTTATGTTATATAGTAGCGTCAGTCTCTTTCACTTACTGAGGATATAAAAGCACTTGAATTTATAGTCGCGTGCCACAATATTAATATTACCTTATCAATGGAATTTACTTTACTACAACTTTTACTATAATGCATTGTAAATGCAGCGATCATTTGTGATCCTTAGAAAAACCAATAAAACCGTTAAAGCCCAAACACACCTTAAGTTACCCTTTCCTCTTGTGTATGTTACAGTGTTCTTTGCTAATGGTAAATAATGCTTTCAATAGTCCCAACATCGACAAAGAGGATAATCAATCGATTTTACGAATCATACCATCTGCTCTTTAAATTTGTTGAAAAAAGTGTGCCAGCCCAAATCCCTTTATAAGGTTTATTGAGGGGAAACTACATACAAAGGGGCTGGGTTTGTTTGGGCTAGTGTATAGGAACTTGGTTTAAGTTTCAGCTATTGTTTCGGTCCTGTGGTCGCGTGCCATCCGACTAGAGCTATGCATCTGTCTTTTCATACTGACCAATCAGGTGGCAGATTAAGCAGGTGGATTTTACTAATTATGCCCAAAAACAAGGTCAGCGCTCACCTGGCGTGTGTCGGTATGGCAATGATAATCTACATGAAGCCTGTACATATCTGGTTGTCCGGCAATTAAGAAAGCAAGGCAAAGTATAGGAATGCAGCCATGACATTTTGTACTAGTGATTTTTGGGATCCCTGGCGTTACGTCATGTATATATGCTGTCATTAACCAACATTTGTATTTGGCTTAACAACAAGTACGAACCACCCTCGGTGCTGGAGCAGTGTTATGCTGTGTCGTTCAGTCACACTTGCCATCATCTGGGCCCGATTACGCTACGTTCACGCTTCAGCGAACAAGATCTAACAATTTCACCCCGAATAATATATTCATACACGATGACCTATTTATTATTTAGATATATTTTGATGGTAACAATGCTCATCAAATGAAACCTGCTACCTGTTGTTTTAAAAATAATGGCCAATTATATCCTCTTAACTGTGTTTAAATTGCTCAACCTGTGTCTAGTAGTTGATAAAAATATGGTTCTAGCTTAGGGGACTGTCGTATAACCCACCATCACCAATGACACTAATCTACCTGGTGACAATTAGAAATCATATTAGACTCATTTACTCGTCATATTTCCATACCTTATGTCATGTAAATGCTCGTAAACGTAATAAAATAGTAAATTAACTTTTCAATTGATATAAAAAGTTTAATTGCCATTCCTTCAGGAATTGATAGCAATTAGGTCAACGCTAGTTTGGAAATCCACTTTTACTAAACGTCCGATTTAGTTAATACATAAGCCCAACAATAAACTTAAATCGAGCAATTTAGTGCCATTGTCGTTTAATAGATTTGTTTATATTGACTTAAACGGTAAATAAATTGTTGATTCTTTATATAAATCAATTACAGTATATTGGACGCTCACATATTGGTGACACTTCGATTATTTCTTCTAGTGTTTGATTCTGCACATACAAATGCGGATTTAACAATGGATAAGTGTATGATGGGCGGGCTAACATGCTAGATTCCATCCTTGACGCATCCAGTTGAAGCCATACTCGAAAAAGCCTCGAGGGATTTAGTAAATTGCAATAGAATTGCTTGAAGATCATAGCAATTTATCGCTAGATTTATCAAAGTGAGTGTTCAGTAAACGTTGACGTTTCACCCCATTTACCATCCAGATTTTTCATTACATTGCTCTTATGCTACAAGTATCTCATTCAGTATCATTTTAGGTAGTCTTACGTCATGCCCGCCCAGTGCCATCTTGGATTTCTAAGGAATGAGGCTTTCAAATTGAAAATCATACTGAAAAGTTAGAAGGACTCTGTAAAATATACCCCGGGTATCGACTTAGCCATATTATGACAGACTCTTATACTACCCCCCCCCCTCACACACATCCACTGCTTCGGTTCCTTAAGTACATTAATATGGCATCATATTTCCTTCTTACGCAAGACGCAATCAAACAAAACAAATAAGTTGAATATACATTGGTATAAGTTCAGATGACAAATGCGATTTATATCATCCATATCAGATGGTTTCTTCATACAACTTAAGATGGGATGTGACACAGTGGGGCAGCCTATTGTTTTACCTCGGTGGTCATACAGTGCCAGTGTTTATGGCGTGTGCCATATGAGTAAAACGATAATGACCCATGCCCTAGTTTCTAACTGTGAATTGTCTCAATCGTAAGAATAAACAAAGTCGCGTGTCTGATGAGCAGAGAGATTGTTTGCAATCATTGCATAAACTTGGGACAATGATGCATACATCCACTTTCATCATGCTGAGATCTCTATGTAGGTTTGGTCAGACAAATCTTCCCCGGCTCAGAAGTGTCTTCGATTGTTTGAAATTAGTTGGAATAAGACCCAATAAAGCAATAACAATTAACATCATCCCGTTATCGTTAGACAGTGTTTTTAGTTTTACAATGATTGTGTATCGCATGATCAAAGGGTGACAGTGAAAGTGGGGGTACAATGGCTACAATAGTGATTGTTATTTGAACATGTGATTCTCTTAGATCTAGCGTCATAATCGTTATTGTCAAATATTCATTATAACCCCATTTCCTCCATTGAAGAGGGAAGAAGCGCTCACTTACAATTTCTTCGAATCTTAGGACAATTGTTCTGGTGATATAACTTGTGATTCCATTACTTGAGGTTATTTATACTTCCCTTTAATGGTTACACATTTGGCGAAGCAGAAAATAGAAAAGAAAACCCCACAGATACAGGTTATACAAGTTTTGCGTTTCAGATCTCCCAACGGGAAAATGTTTTTTTGTCAAAAAATTTGGAGATCATATGTAATCTCGTTATACCATATATTTCAAGTTGAGGGACGGGGTTGAGTTTCACGAGACTTTATGCACGATTTTGGGTATTGGTAATTAAGCAGTCAGACTTAACATGTCCAATAACCAATTTGGTGGAAATTCTGTAGAGAAAATAGGGCACAGGTTGGTCCAGATAACATAAAGTGAAAATACAAATCAATTTAATCAAGTAGAAATCAATGTAATGTTGATTAGTGTCTAATAACAAATCAGCATGTCCATCCAGAAGTTTGCCCATGGTATCCATATCCTATTTTATACTGTCTTGTCTGAGAGGGGATTAAACCCCACGAAACAACTAGAAAACTTCCTTTTGGGCGCCAGATCAAAATATTGCTCATAGAAGCACAAAATCTGTCTGCAATAACAGAAGGTCGAGCTACGCAATTTTAATTACATTTGGTTAATTATGACTTCAAATTGGCATTTTGGTGAATGAAACCCTACCGG